GGAGGAGGAGGAGTCTGCCAGACTCTATAAATAATCCCCAACCCTGGACGGCAGCTCCGTCTGTGAATTCCACCCACCCCTGGCCTGATGCCGCAGCCTTCGGCTCCCCCCTGGTCCTGATTCCCTTCCCACCGTCCTACCTGCCTCCCACTCCTGGAGCCGGGAGCGAGCTCCCAGTCCCGCCACGGCCACTGAAGAGTCCCTCCTCCTTCCTGGCTCTTACGGATAAACGTGACAGTAACAACAGCAGCCCGCCCTCCAGGTAGCAGGCCGCAGCTCCACGGGAGGGCATGTGATCGGCTGGCCTCATGATGGAGTCTGAAGAGTCCTCTTGGCCACCCCCTAGGCAGGGCTTAGTCCGCAGGAGACAGAGGCTCAGAGAGGCTGAGCAACCGGCTTGGGGGTCACACAGCAGGGAAGTGGCACAGGTGGCATTTGAACCCAGCTCTGACGACTCCCGCAGCTGAGCTCTTCTCATCTGAGCCCTGAGGGAGGGTTGCCAGCAGACAGGGGTGGGGATGGCCACCCAGCCTTCCCTTCCACCCTGCCCCTCATCCCTTGAGCCCAGGAACCTCCGTAGACAGGATGTCCCTTCTCTGCTCGCATGCTCGTTCTCCACAACACCCTCCGCCTTCTCTGAAACTCCTCACGCAGACCTTTAAAATAATAACAACAGGGGCGCGCGGGGGGCTCAGTCGGTTAAGCGGCCGACTTCGGCTCAGGTCATGATCTCACGGTCTGTGAGTTCGACTCCCGCGTCGGGCTCCGTGCTGACAGCTCAGAGCCTGGAGCCTGCTTCGGATTCTGTCTCTCTCTCTCTCTCTCTCTCTCTCTCTCTCTCTGCCCCTTCCCCGCTTGTGCTCTGTCTCTCCCTCTCAAAAATAAACATAAAAATTTTTTTTTAAAAATGACAGCAATAATTATAATAATGGCCAAGCAAAATAATGCTTATTGTGAGCCAGGACTATTCCAAGTGCTTTACGTAGTTTGGCTCCTTTCGTGCTCCCAATAGCCCCATGGGATGAGTGCTATTATGACCCCCCCATTCTACACGTGAGTAATCTGAAAGCACAGAGAAGTTAAGCAAGGTGCCCAAGGTCACACAGCGTCTTGTAAGTGGCAGACCTGGAATTTAAACCCGGGCTGTCTGATTCTGGAAACTACGGTTTTATCCATGCCAGCATTACGACTCCATCCCAAAGGCTCCCCACTTCATTTTCCAGCTGGAGAAACTGTCTCTAGCAAGATTATTAGTCTGGGGTCACCTGTCAGGGTGTGACCGAGCTGGGATCTTAGCCATAGAGTTCGGATGCATCCTGTGAAGGTGCAGGGGCTCAGAGAGGGCGCCCTTCTTGTCCCCAGTCACACAGCCGTCAACCCCCAGACCTTGCTCTGTTCCCTTGCTGTTCTCTGCTGGACGCGAGCTAACCTTCTCCACCTTCCCTGCCCACCAGGCCCCCCACGCCGCCACCATGCCGTTCGGTAACACCCACAACAAGTTCAAGCTGAACTACAAGCCTGAGGAGGAGTACCCTGACCTCAGCAAGCACAACAACCACATGGCCAAGGCGCTGACCCTTGAGATTTACAAGAAGCTGCGGGACAAGGAGACTCCATCTGGGTTCACTCTGGACGACGTCATCCAGACAGGTGTGGACAACCCAGGTAAGCCTCCTTGGTGGAGTGGGGACAGGGATCAGAATGGCGGGGGTAGGGGAGGGGGGCTCTGGAGCTGCCTGCCAGGCCTCGATCCCACCTCCCTGGGCCTCAGTGTCCTCATCCGAAAAATGGGCACTCATGTTGCGAAAACATAGGAGTCGGCGCACACAAGTGCTTAGAGCAGCCCCTGGTACGGGGCCAGCACTCGGGATCTGAGGGGGGATGTCATCGGTGCTGTGGTTCTTTGTCCAAGGACACCCTGCGAGGGTCAGCAGCACCAGAGGCAAAAAAGCACGTCCTAGCCTCCAACTCACTGTGCCATTGAGGAGGGAGGGCCCCTCTTTCCAGACCCCTGTTTTCCCCTCTGGGAACACGAGGGCTGTTCAAGTCTCTTATCATCTGTGGGAGCCAATCGTCTAATAAGCTTTTGAAAATGTTTAGGTAAAGGAAGAGTATGTGATTTGGGGACTCTGAAGTGGTCATATTTTTAGTACCTTGTAACTGGCCCCCCAAGACTCTCCTTTCTCCGTTGCCCTGCCCCCAGCACCTTGCCCTCACCCCAGATGCTGCCTAGACCTCTCCTAACCTTCCCTCCCCATCCACATAACCCTCAGCCTCTGCAGTTCTGAAACACACACACTCACAGGCACACACACACACACACAC